AACCCTGCCTGAGCTTGAGTACCAAACATGCTCAAAATCTGTGCTAGGGTCTCCTAAAGTGCAGGGGTGACAACAGGCACCTCGAGTGCCTGTCTCCCAACTGGAGCTACTGGTGGCTTCTCCGTCGCTACTTGGGTAGGTGCTCTAGCTTCACCACGTGCCCATCCTCGGCTTCTACCCTGGCCTCAGCCTCTCGCGTCTCTAGTACCGGGCGTGTGTCTGGTCCTCAGATCCAACAGCGCATGTTCTCACCATATGTGAGAGAATAGAAAGTCAAAGATTGAGATTTCAATGTAAACCAATTCGCATGATAAGGAATCAGAGAAGTGGAATTTTCCTAACAATTACGTAGCCTCTCGAAGATAAATACAAACATTTCCGTACCGATCCACAAGACTCTAATAAACCTGCTTATGACCCGTAACACTTATGAACCTAGAGCTCTGATACTAACTTGTCACGACCCAAATTTCCCACCTTAAGATGTTGTGATGGCACCTACTCTCTAAGACTAGGTAAGCCTAACATGAATAGAGAAATAGCAGAAATAATAATAAAACTTCAATTTAAACCATCTAAACTATGATAACAGAACTCAATAGTACAACTGACAAATAACTCCCAAAATCTGGTAGAACTGAGTCATAAGCTCTACAGAATATTCTAAAACCTCTACTACAACACTGTTTGAATAAGAAAGTAACAGTAATGAGAAGATAACCGAAGGTGACTCCGAGGCTTGCGGACGTCGGGCAAGTATATCTTGAAGTCTCGTGAAAGCAGCTAACCAATCAATCTCAAGCGTCTAGTATATGAAAATGTACTAGGATCTACACAAAGATGTTGTCATGACCCAATTTAGGATCATGACCGGCGCTTAGGAGCAAGTGCCCCCAAGTAAGCCTCATTGGTATTTTATAGAAAATCGGACAGAGTTTCCCCTGCTTTTGGACTATCCCAAAAAATTTCCTGTCTCAAATCAATCACCAAATATCCTAATATCATACCAAACAATTGACAACTTATCAATTAACAAAAACAAGTCTCCACCATTACTAATCAACCCACTAACAACCAGAAATACTGATTTATCTCCAACTTTGATAATAAAGAACGATACTGAACATAATAATATAATAACAAAAGAATACTCATGACAGTAAGATATTGACTATGGAGCAACTCTATGAGTTCAAAGAAAAAACTATAACAATAAATAAAATCTCCACATACGCGAACAAGTGCGAGGCACACCAACCCGCATCAACTGTTGTCTCTGTAAAAAAAAATAAGCGGGGAATGAGTCGCGATCTCAGTGAGTAATAACACTTAACCACAACCATTTTTATTGGGTACAAGTCATAAAACATGCCTATTAACTAGAAAATATCATAAAAATGCCTTTTAAGAAACAGTAAACAATAATCTGTTTCATCATGTGTTTCATGTAAATAAAAATCAATTAAAAATTCGGTAACCACTGAATAATAGCAATATTCACATTTTGGGAGGTTTCAATGAATGGATCATGTAATCGGTACAATTGCGGGCTTCTTTGCAAGAAGTCAAATATAATGGTAGTCCCTACTCGAGGGAATCGGTAACGGTATGCTAGTTCTACTTTCCCACTAGCTAGGGCTATAACTGTACTTTGTAATCGGTAAATACAAGGTTCACCAGGTCTAACGAACCCGCCATTATCTACGAGATCCTTCAAAGTCTACTCCCAGTTATACTTGTCTTTGTATTCGTATATACTCATAAGAAAATATTTTAAAACAATATAGGGCATTTCGGTTCTTATCAAATCATGTAGTTTCATTTCGATAACAGTAAATTCAAGTAAGGTAAAACATACCTAGTGACAGCAATAATATTTAAAATAGCTGTGATCATGTCAAATAACTATTTCGGTATCATATCGATTAAAAGATTTGTCCCACATGCAACTCAAATTAAACGGTAATATATTCATATTAAAATTCATGTGTAAATCTTGGAGGTTATGAAAATACAAATTGCAGTAAGATTACTAGTTACAGTACTCGTGCCGAAATATCAAATGCTTCACCTCGAGCTATTCATACAACTTCCTCTAATCAATCTATAATTACATAATATCGATCTCATGTTCATTTTCATGTTTAGGATAATTCATAGCTAATTTAGAATACCCAACCCTCGAGGTTTCATATTTGACTCGTATTCGCCGAATTATATTTACCCACATATGGGTAATTACTATTTTATCAACTCCAACCTATTTATATAATTTGTTAACCCAATTTCATAAAGTTTTATTGATTCTTTAGGAAGAAAATTCTCAATTGTGTGAATGAACTAGTATAATTTCTATTACTTTGTAGAATCTTCCAATCGTGAGAGTCAAAATTAAAATCTACCAGAATAAGAAGTTCAAGAAATTCACGTAAGACACAATTAGAGCTTAAGATTCTCAATGGTTATAGCTATGGTTCCAACGCACTGCGCCAACTTCTTCCTCCTTCTTTTTTCTTTTCTTTATTTCTTCCTTGTTGGTTGTTATTTTTTCGATTCCTTTTAGCTTCTGTTGGTGTTTTGAAACGGCAAACCCTTTTTCCTGTTTTTCCATTTCCTCTTTTCCCTTTTGTCTTTTTTTATTTTTCCACAAAATGGGCTTCGGCCTTTTTTTCTTAAACCTTATCATTTTGTTTTTTTATTTGTTAAATGACCAACTTGTCCTTGTTTGAAATTTATGGGATATTACATCCTACCCATCTTATAAAATTCTGTCCCCGAATTTAACTCAAGCACGTACCTGTAGGCTAAAATAAATTAGGATATTTGATGTGCATATCATCTTCCGTTTCCCAAGTAGCTTCTTAAACGGTGTCATTTCTCCATAGGAATTTCACGAACAAAATTTCTTTTGACTGTAGCTTCCTTTCTTGCCTATCAACAATAGCCATCGGCTCTTCCTCGTAAGATAACTTATCATCAATAGGTATAGTAGGTACTTCAAGCACCTGAGATGAGTCTGAAATACATTTTCTTAGCATTGAGACGTGAAATACTGGATGAATAAAAGACAACTCAGGAGGAAGTGACAAACGATAAGCCACAACTCCCACTCGGTATAGTATCTCATACTGTCCTATAAACCTGGGGCTCAACTTGCCTCTTTTCCCAAAGCGCATCACACATTTCATAGGGGAGACTCGTAGGAGCACTTTCCCCAATTGTGAACACTAAATCCCTTCTTCTCTTATCATCATAAGACTTTTATCTACTTTGAGCTGCAAGCAATCTCTGTCTGATCAATTGGACCTGGTCCATAGCTTCTTATACTAGGTCAGGTCCCAATAAGTTAGTCTCACCAGCTCCAAACCATCCAATAGGAGAACGACATCTTCTACCATACAATGCTTCGTACGGTGTCATTTGAATACTGGACTGGAAGCTATTGCTATAAGCAAATTTAGTTAAAGGTAGATAAGTGTCTCAACTACCTCAAAACTCAAGAATGCAAGCTCTCCAAATATCCTACAAGATCTGCATAGTACATTCAGACTGCCCGTCTGTCTGTGGATGAAATGCAATACTAAGATCTACTCGTGTACCCAATGCTTCTTGAAAAGATTTCCAAAAGCGTGAAGTGAACTATGATCCCTTATTAGAGATGATGGATACTCCAACTACGTGAAGTCGGACAATTTCGTTCATAAATATCTGTGCATACCTCACTCCATCATATGTAGTATTCATTGGTAAAAAGTGTGCTGATTTACTCAGTTGATCCACAATCACCCATACAAAGTCATAAACTTTAGGGGTTCGTGGTAGCCCGGTGATAAAAATCCATAGTAATTCTTTCTCGTTTCCACTTTGGAATCTCAATTTGTTGTAGTTGTCCTGCGGGTCGCTGATGCTCAGCCTTGACCTGCTGATAAGTCAAATAACTAGAAACAAAGTTAGCAACATCTTTCTTTATACCTTCCCACTAATAGAATTGCTTTAGGTCATGATACATTATTGTGGATCGCAGATGTATAGTGTATCTAGTGTTGTGAGCTTCTTTAAGAATAGCATGCCTCAACCCATCTACGTTTGCGACACATAGCCTATCACCCATTCGAAGAACACCATCATTGTCAAAAATCATATCCTTTCTTTTACCAGCTAAGGCCTGATCTCTGTATTTGAAAAATCGCTCATCCTCATATTGGGTGGCCTTAATGTGCTTAACTAATGAAGACTTAGCCCGAGCACAAGTCAATAATGCCTCTGAATTTCCGACACCAAATCTGATACTTGTATCTTTTAGTCTCTGAATATCTTTGGCCAAAAGTCTCTTTCCAGGAGCTATATGTGCCAAACTTCCCTAGATTTTCTGCTCAAGGCATCAGCACCACATTGGCTTTTCCATGATGATACAAAATAGAATAATCATAGTCTTTGAGTAGTTTCATCCAAAAACGTTGCCGAAGATTTAGATCTTTCTGCTGAAAGATATACTTCAAACTTTTATGGTCAGTATAAATCTCAAAAGTTTTGCCGTATAGATAATATCTCCAAATTTTTAGAGCAAATACTACTACAGCCGTCTACAAATCATGTGTAGGATAGTTTTGCTCGTTCTTTTTCAATTGTCTCGAAGCATATACTACAACACGACCATTTTGCATGAGAACATATCCTAATACCACCCTCGAGGCATCAAAGAATACTAAAAATCCTCTAGAAACTGATGGTAAGGCTAATATTGGTGCAGTTGTCAAACACGTTTTGAGTTTCCGAAAGCTTTGCTCACATTCCTCCGTCCACTGAAACTTTGAATTTTTCTGTGTTAGCTTGGTTAGTGTCGCTGCTATACTGGGAAAAACTTGCACAAAACGCATGTAATAGCCTGCTAAGCCTAAAAAGCTGCGAAACTCTATAGGAGAAGTAGGCCTGGGCCATTTCTGCACAACTTCTGTCTTCTTAGGATTTACCATAATTCCATCTTTGGATACAACATGCCCCTAAAATGCTACCGAGTCTAGCCAGAATTCACACTTCAAGAACTTAGCATAAAGCTGATATTCTCGCAATGTCTGCAATACAGTCCTGAGATGATCCTCGTGTTCTCCGTAGCTACTAGAATATATCAGGATATCATCAATAAATACTATTACAAATCTATCCAGAAATGACTTGAACACCATATTCATTAAATCCATGAATGCAGCTGGAGCATTAGTTAGTCCGAAAAGCATCACAAGGAACTTATAGTGCCCACATCGAGTTCTGAAAGTAGTCTTAGAAATATCTTCATCTTTGATTCTAAGCTGATGGTAACCAGAATGGAGGTCAATCCTTGAAAAGTGGGTAGCTCCTTGTAACTAATCAAACATGTCATCTATACGAGGCAAATGATATTTATTGCTTATTGTTATCTTGTTCAACTGCCTGTAGTTAATGCACATTCTCAGGGATCCGTCCTTCTTTACGATCAGTACTGGTGCACCCCATGAAGATATACTCGGCTGATAAAACCCTTATCTAACAAATCCTGCAGTTGTTGTTTTAGCTCCTTCAACTCTGCTAGTTCCATCCAATATGGTGGTATTAATATGTGATGTGTGTTAGGTGGCAAATCAATACCAAAATATATTTCTCATACTGGAGTCAATCCTGGTAAATCTTCCAAAAATACATCAGAAAATTATCTCATTACTGGTACATTTTCTATACTAATTATTTCCTTTCCTGTGTCATTTACAATAGATAAGAGACCCAAGCAACCTTTCTTCAGAAGTCGCGGGGTTTTTATAAAAGATGTAACTTTGCAAGTCTCTAGAACCTAACCCCCTTTTAAAACAAAACTGGGTTTGTTTGGTATCTCAAACTTGACTATCTTTTCATGACAATCGACGATAGCATAGCAAGAAGATAACCAAACCATTTCCATCAACATGTCAAAGTCAATCATATCAAGTAAAATAAGATCAGCTAGAGTATCTTTACCCTCAACCCAAATTTAACAAGCACGATACATGTATTAAGCTATTAGAGACTGTCCAACAGGAGTAACAATTATAAAAGAGTCATTCAATAGCTCAGGCTGTCTACTAAACCTCAAAGCAAAGTACGAGGAAACATATGAATGAGTAGATCCCAGATCAATCAACGCAAGTGCATCAAATGAACAGACACAAAGAATACCTATAACTACAGCATTCGAGGCCTGAGCATCTGCCTAGTAAATGCAAAAACTCTCACATGACTTCTACTAGCATTCCCTTGTCCTTGAGTCATAGTAGTACGGTCCCCGGCACCTCGACCTCTCTTTCTTGTACCCGTAGCACCTGAAGTATTATGAGTAGTCTGAGTAGGTGCAGCAGACTGAACAGAAGCCTGGTTGAAATTTCTCGGAGGCTGAGGGCAATCCCTCAAATGATGTCCCAACTGGCCACACCGAAAGCATTCTCCAGTTAGAACATGACACTGGCCCGAATGTGATCTAACACAGGTCTGGCAGACTAGATTAGTGGCATATAATTGCCTAGAATTACGATGTCCAGATGCTGAAGGTCCCCTAGTACCCTGTCTATAATGTGGAATATATGTGGACTGTGAAGAAAAATGTATCCCAGTCTGAGAACCCTGTTGTTGTTGTCCCTGATTTCCTACTCTTCGATTTTAACTAAAACTGCCATTGAAAGACCCTCCGGTCTTAGCCTTTTTACGTAAATCACTAGCTGCATGCTCATCACTATTAGTTTCAAGGTTTCACGGATTAATTTTGATGATAACAAACCAACATAATTATTAATCAAATAATATTTACTTGTGGTAATTTTGTTTTTGCACGGGTTTATTCAAAAAAAAAAGATGTCGATAAAGATCTAAACAAATATGGAAAAGAGAATATCATGTGATGAATTTATCGAGGAAGATTATTTTCAGAGATTCAATCTTCAAGCTTCATGGAAGGAATAATATTTGAAAGTCATATTTCAAATATTGAATGGTTTAGTACAATATCAGAAGAAGACTCTAAGGAAATTATGGAAGGAAAGTTCTTAAATATCTTGAAAGGAAGGTTGCAAAATCATGGAGAAGATCTATTATATTGTGCAAGATACTATATGGAAAACATACTACAAGATCAAGAAAGAAATATTTTCAATATAAGAAGAATATATTTTCTATGAAAATAAAATATATTATGGATTTAGTACAATCTATATTATGGAAAGAGATTATTTCCCAAGATCAAGAAAGGAAATTATTTTCATAGTTGTGGAGATAATAAATGGTTATTGGGATCTTCATCCAAAATCAAAGGAAAAGGATCTTGAAATTCTCTTGGGTTATCTAAATAAGAGCCAATACTTGTACATATGGAAGAACAACTCAAGTGGAAGAATAAATATTTTGACAAAAATATAACACGTAGAAGGAAAGAGATATACTTGCTACAAGTGTTGTATGACAGTGCTAGATTTGCTACAATACTAAGGAAAGGAAGTTGTTGGATGAATTACTACTAGCTATATCTTGGAAGGAGTAAATCAAAGGATCATACTTAAGAATGTGCAGGAAGAGAATTACGAAGCTCTTTCAAGGAAGAAAAATTCAATATATACTGGTGCATGGTTGACAACACTTCAAATGGAAAGCTCTCATTTTATGGATATACAATAATATTGTTTACTTCACAAGGAAGGAAATCGAAGGAGCTTAAGGCATGGAATCTAGAAAATCAGTATATTGGAAATATATATCAGTCTATTAGCATGACACATCATCAATCAATATGTCACGACCCCCAGTTTGCCCTTCATGAACTATCGTGACGGCACCTAGTCTCTACGACTAGGTAAGCCTAACAAATTGCGAAAACAGAAAACAATAGAACAAAACTAGCCAATATTGCAAAAATAACATAATGACGCAATTAAGATGCCACTTGGCATATACAATACAAACACTCAAAACTTCGCTCAAATTCGAGCTCCCAAGCTCTAGTTTTGATAAAAATGGCTAAACCCTCGACTTTGCCATTTTATAATCTGCCCAGATAATTCCTTCTTCGCGAATGCGGAAGGACCCTCGCGTTCACGAAGCACAACTTCGCTTGGTCTAGTTTTCCTTCATCGCGAACGCGATGTCCCTGTCGCGAACGCGGAAACCATCTACCCCCTCCTACGCGAACGCGGGACCATCTTCACGAATGCGTAGGTATAAGACCTCACTGCCTCGTGAACACAGGAACACCTTTGTGAACGCGAAGCATTAAACCTCCACCAGCCCCATCTCTCCTTCGCGAACACGATACCCCACTCGTGAATGCGAAGAAGGAAACTAGAACTGACTGTTGCAATTTTTTTCTGCAATTCTCAAAGTTCTAAAATGACCTGTTGAGCATCGGAAACACACTTGAGGCTCACGGGACCTCAACCAAACATACCAACCAATCCTAAAACATCATTCAAACTTTTTCCAACCTTTGGAATGCTCAAAACATCATCAAAATACCAAATTAACATCGGATTCAAGCCCAAGAACTCCAAAAAATTTCAAATTTTGCTTTCGATCAAAAAGTTTATCAACCTCGTCCGAATAACCTGAAATTTTGCATAGCACATCACATTCAACATTACGGAGCTACTCCAACTTTCGGAATCCCATTCCAACCCAGATATCAAAATCTCACTATCGAACCGGAAATTTCAAAAATTCAACTTTTGGCATTTCAAGCCTAAATAAGCTAAGGACCTCCAAAACACAATCCGAATACGTCCCTAAGCCAGAAATCACCCAACTGAGCTGACGGAACCGACAGAATTCCATTTCAAGGTCGTCTTCGCACTGTTTCAGCTACGGTCCAGATTCTAAAGCTTAAGCTCTATTTTAGGGACTAAGTGTCCCAAAACACTCCGAAACATAAAACCAAACATACTAGCATATCAAAATAGCAGAAACAAACACAAGGAAAGCAGTAAATAGGGGATCGGGGTGTTAATTCTTAAAACGACCGGTCGGGTCTTCACATCCTCCTACACTTAAACATTCGTTCATCCTCGAACGAGCATAGAGACGTACCTTAAGTAGTGAAAAGATGAGTGCAATGGCTGCACATATCCTGCTCGGTTTCCCAGGTCGCCTCCTAGACCGGCTGACCCTGCTACTAAACCTTCACTAATGCAATGTTCTTTGACCTCAGCTTTCGAACCTGTCTGTCCAATATTGCCACTGGTTCCTTAACATAAGATAGAACCTTGTCCAACTAGACTGAACTAAAATCCAACACGTGCGATAGATCACCGTGATACTTTCGGTGCATCGAAACATAAAATATCGGGTGAACTCCTACCAAGTTGGTAGGTGAGGCAAGCTCATAAGCAACCTCCCCAACATATCTCAATATCTCAAAAGGACCAATAAACCTCGGACTCAACTTTCCTTTCTTCCCAAATCTCATAACGCCCTTTATAGGTGAAACCCGAATCAGAACCCGCTCTCCAACCATATAGGAAACAACACGAACCTTCCGGTCCGCGTAACTCTTCTGTCTAGACTGGGCTGTACATAGTCTATCCAGAATCACCATAACCTTCTCCAAAACATCCTGAACCAAGTCTGTGCCCAATAATCTAGCCTCTCCCGGCTCAAACCAACCCACCGGTGATCTACACCGCCTACCATATAAAGCCTCATACAGTGCCATCTGAATGATGGACTGATAGCTATTGTTGTAGACAAACTCTGCCAATCACATATGCATGGAGCATATCCTCAAGAATTTGAATAGTGCGCTCGGACTATCCGTCCGTCTGAGGGTGAAATGTTGTACTCAACTTCACCCGAGTACCCAACCCATGATTTACGGCCCTCTAGAACCATGATGTGAACTGAGTACCTCTATCTGAAATGATAGAAACTGGAATACCATGCAGACGAACAATCTCTCGGATATAAATCTCTGTCAGACGCTCCTAACAATAGGTATTACACACAGGAATGAAGTGTGCGGACTTGGTCAGCCGATCCACAATCACCCAAATGGCATTGAACTTTTTCAAAGTCTGTGGGAGCCCAACTATGAAGTCCATGGTGATCCGCTCCCACTTCCACTCCGGAATCTCTATCTACTGAAGCAACCCACCCGATCTCTGGTGCTCATACATCACCTGCTGACAATTGAGGCACCGAGCTACAAACCCAACTATATCTTTCTTCATCCGACTCCACCAATAGTGCTGACTCAAATACTGGTACATCTTCACGGCACCCGGACGAATGGAATACCGTGAACTATGGGCCTCCTCTAAAATCAACTCCCGAAGCCCATTAACATTGGGTACACAAATCCGACCATGCATCCTCAATACCCCATCATCACCCATAGTCACATCTCTGGAATCACCATGCAGAACCTTGTCCTTGAGGACAAGCAAATGAGGGTCATCAAACTGACGCTCCCGGATATGATCAAACAAGGAAGACCGAGAAACCACGCAAGCTAGAACCCAACTGGGCTCCGAAAGATCTAATCTCACAAACTGGTTGGCTAAGGCCTGAACATCCATCGCCATGGGCCTCTCC